TTATATATATAGGCACCAACTGACTAATCTCCAAGCAGATCCCAGGGTGGTATAAGACAGCCAAGGGTGGCGTATCGGACCATCTTTAGCAACCATTTTCCATTATGGACACGCTTAAGTGTGCAAAAGCTAGATATGCGTAGAATCTTTAGAACTGCCATATGCTGTAAATGTGTGTAGTTAAGAATATTGTACCGTAAGCCCCACCTTTAGGGAGGTACCTTCTGCCCAGCTTGACAGGGTTTGACAAATAGACTGACAAATAGCCCCTGACAATTATTTGGTAAACACGGAACAAAAAACATTTTTAGAGGGCTGTTGGAAACAGAACTTGGTGTATGAGTATGTCGGTAAGAATGGACTTCCAAAATTTTTTAAGAATCATACCACGGATCTCGGTAAAAGCTAGAAGCATTAAATATATCTTGTTATGATTCTATTACCATTCCGCTGTCAGGAAGATATATAGATCCCAGTCAGTTTCTGACCGTGCCTCAGGTTTTATCGCATGAGGTGAGGCGCACTTTACCTGAGCACCTGCTAATTTACGCCAGGCAATACATGGCAACAAAGAAATATGGTTTCTTAAAAGTGTTACAGGTCTAACACGAGTACCGTCCCGCACACGTCAGCCGAGGTTGATGATGGTGGAAAGAAGCCGCATGCAATACTCAAACTCAAAATACATCCGTTGTTTATCAAGCTAAATTGAATGCATGTTGAATATAGTTAGCAAGGTATGCGACATTGTGTATGTTTGGTCGGGATTCGAACTCCCAACCTCTTCGGGTCCAGAGGCACGGTCACCATAAGGTATAGGAGAGACATGCTATGTTTTAATTTAGGTCACTGACCGACACCAGGGATTGTACGATATTTACCTGGGGTGGGCTGGTACGTTGACGGGAGATGCACAAATAAAATCGGGGCCACCAACCAACATATTACAGAAAAAACCGTCGCCAGAGTCTTTTTTAAGACTCAACTTGTTGGTTATTTTGCCGTTGGAACGTTCTATCGCAATAAGGGTGCCCTAATTTCGACCTACTGTTTAACACAGGTCGATCCGAGAAGAGAGTTTAGAAATTATAATACACAAATTATGACTAAAACAATCTACAACTGTTTTTCTGTCCCAAACAAGTCCTCTTTTTACGATTACGCGACTTGCTCCAAAGCGGCTGTTTCAAAAGCAAAACCTGCATTTTTTACATGCTCGTCAACCCCCGAACAAGCGTCGAATTTTAACAGATTTTTCACTCGTTGTCGGAGTGTACGAACTAAAACAAACTTTGTGAGATTACCGATATCAACACAAATTTAGAACTTTGTCCATTCTTGTGGTTATTTTTAGGCACGTGCTCCCATGCATAACGCCGCAACAAGGATTTTTCAAACTAGTACGGAATTAGGGGTAGGTCAGAATTAGGGCACCCCCCCCCGTTACCGATTGATCTATTTTATCGGATAATAACATTTCAACAACCATTGTACAGGGTACAAAAATGGTATCTACTGGTAGTTATAACTACAATGATTATTACACTCCGCCAGGCAGTGCCTCCACGACCCGAATTTGGGTTAGGAGCCGCAGGTAAACGGTATTTCATACTTGTTACGTTCAGTGAGAAACATTTATAATTCTCATAAATAAGTTATGAATAAGTTATAAAGGTTAACATCTTTTGGTGAAGGTACACTTTATATAAGTTAAAGTATGTATGTATATGCATGTTTACCTCCATGGTATATGTAAGGCCGACAATTGCTTAGGAGCAAATGTAGCATATGCCAAAAAACAGTTACTCAAGCAACTGGATATGATTTTGAAAACGTCAGACGTTTCAGCTAGTATCCACTAGCTTTCGTCAGTGACTGAGAGACCAGAGGGGAAAGCAGGTTTATATACACAACCTGTTGATTGATATGCAAATAAAGTGAAGACAAATTTTTGGAAGTCGAAAAAGGACAAAAGTCAGACAAGTCAAGACAAGATGATGCAAATTAGTCTGAAAGCTCCTGTTATACAGGACAGGAGCTTAAGTGTTGTCTGTCCTCGGGGCTGGGAGTGCCAAATCCCAAGTGCCGGAAAGATCGACCCGTAGCCCCCCTTCCCTGTTGAGGGTGGGGTTGTACATTCTTTCATATATTGCCTCTTTAACACCCCGTTCCCACCAGCGTGTTTCGCGGTCTAAGACATCCGTG